TATATATTTATTTGATATTTTATATAAAATTTATTAAATAAAATAAAGTAATTTAAAATTATTATATAAATAAAATATTTTATTTAAATATCATTCTAGTCTCCCTTATTTTATCAATCTTTTCCACAGCGTAACATTGTACATACCCAATGTTTTGCCCTCAAACGTACGCAAGTGTTCAACGTATTTCTTGGTAGGAACATTAATTAAGGACCAGTTCTTTTTTAAAGTGAAGGATAATTAGACCCCCTTTTAGTACATAATTATTTGGATTACTAAGTAAATGACGACAAAGTTACAATTTGTTAAATATAAAATTTGTTAAAGGATCCTTCACCTTAAAAATTAACTAGCCGATACTAATCAGCCGTCAAAACAAACGTCGCGGCCGATTTATTTTTTTTAATTTTATCTTTTCTTTTTAACTGGAAAATAATTCGATCCAAATCCAAGTCTACAGCAGTCAAGTTACCAAAACAGGAAGAAGGGCCATTGTCGGTTTAGGAAGTCAAATTTTTAGGTAATCGTCAAAATTGTGTGTAGGTGTAGACTTAGTCTTCTTCTTCCCCCTTTTTTTTTTTAAATAAAATATCCTTCCTGTTGTTTGAGCTCTCTGTCATTAACGGGGCTATTCGTGGCTAGCCGAAAGAATGACACAAGTATGTTTAGTTTTGACTTCTGATGACGTCATCATTCGAGGATATAGAATACCCCAAATCCAATTAAATTGGCTTTGTATTTCTGCATATTCGATATTAAATCTTGTCTTAATAGTCATCTAATCGATGAAATATTTATTTTAATATTAATTTAATGAGTATTATAGTTTTAAATCCAGTAAATTAGTATATAATATTTAAAAATTTATAAATACATAAAAATTAATAATCAAGAATTTTGGTCTAAACAGTTTAGGGCCTCTTTGGTAGGCCTGTTTTCTATTTTTATTTCCAGAAAAATAGAAAATAGAGGTAAAAATGTGTTTGGTGTTCATTTTCATTTTCATTTTCAGAGAAAATTTTCTGAAATTGATTGGAAATCAGAGAATGATAAAAGCTGTTTTCTGTGTTTTCAGTCCAAAACTAAAAACGCAGTGGTATTTTTGTAATTAACTCATTTTCCAATGTTTGTCTTGTAAGTTTAATCCCTGTGCTACTGTTTCACAGAACCAGGCTCGCTGACAAACGAAGCTACGGACGGAGCTCGTCACCGATTTGGTGATTAAGGCACTATGTTGTCGCCGGGAGGAAAGGAAGAGGCCATATCTGTTTTCTGTTCGTGGAGTCAACGTCGACTCTACGAACAGAGTCGACACCATGTTTGTTTTCTGCTCGCGGAGTCGTCGTTGGCTCCGCGAACAGAGTATGTGTCGAGCTTCTTCGAGCTCTGTCGATTGGCAACGACGAATAGGCCATCTGATTTTTGAATCATTTGTGAAATGTTTCAACGTTTGGGAACCACGGAACATCTTCGAATTTATGAAATTTCAACCTCATGACACATCATTTGTTCAAATTAGTTTAGGGCTTTTGTTTTTCGAAGTATAGATAGTTCATCTAAGTAAAAATTTATTAACAAAATCAGAGATTGAAGAAGAATTGAAGTCGAGTCGCAATTGGGTCTAACAAACCCAATTGCGACTCGCTGGAGGAAGGGGACGAGTCCCCTTTTGCAATTTTGTGAAATTTCTTTTTAGTCCCTGATCTTTGCCTTTTCCTTCAATCTGGTCCTTCAATTTTTCGAATCTTGATTCCAACTTTAGAAATTTTGATTTTTTCATCTAAACCTCTATAAAAAAAACCCTAAAATTTGGATTCCTTTCAATTGAGTCCACATTTTTAATTAAATGAAAATGTGCAAACCAAACATGTTTTTATTGTTTTCATTTTTTGAAAACAGAAAATAGTTAAACAAACCAAACATATTTTCTAAAATCCCAAAATATGAAATTAAAAATCATTTTTAGAAAATGAAACTATAAAAGGAAAATGGGAAACATTCTCTGAAACCAAACAGACCCTTAGCTCTTTCATTAATTGCAATTTTTAATGTTTGAAAATTGGAATTTTTGAGGGTAAAAAATTATATTTTTTTTTTTTTATAATTTTATACATACGAATCAAACTAAAAAAAATAATTTTTTATAAATACATTATTTATTATCCTCTAGTGTTCGTAAGTGAGGAAGAAACTAAGAATATTTTGTAGTTTCTTCTTTATTTTCATTTTTTTAAATAAATTTTTCTTATTGTCTCCCCTCAAATCTATGTTTAATCAAGAAAATACCATTTTTGTCAATTAAAAATAAGAAACTGTAAAAAGAAAAATAGCCATTGTAAATTCAGTTATTACGGTTAATTGCTTGAATTGTGAAAACGTATTTATAAAAACGGCTTGTTTTGGTTTAGGAAAAATTTTCTGTTTCTGTTTTTTGAAAATAATTTTCCTTTTCATACTTCCAAAATTTAAGAAATATGTTTGCTTGTTTTTAGTATTTCTTATTTTCATGAAATGGTTTCAGATTTTTCTAAAATTTTTGAAAAAAAAACACTGAAAATAATTTTTTTATAACTTTTAATTTTAGTTCATTTTTTAAAAGTATTTTTGATAAAAATAAAAAATATGCAAATTAAATGCATTTTCAACACTATTAAAATAGAAAAGCACTAAACTCATGCAGGCCGACAGACTGATTTGCACAATATATTATAAAATTTTAATTTTTTATACTTTACACTCTAATAAGATAAATAATTAAAAAATATTAAGGTACAAAGTTCAAATAATTAGAATTTAAAGATGTATCAGGCAAATCACTCCGGCAACGTCCGTTTTGGTTAATTTATAGCACGTGGAAAACATGAACCGGGTCTACTTCGGGTTGTTATTTATTGTACTTGTTCTTTCTTTGTCTAATTTTTGGGATTGCACATTTTTCTTTTATTCTTTCTGATCCGACGTCGTATAACAATGCCGACAATTTTATTGGTAAATTTCGCCTCAACGTCTTGGGACCAACACGCACATATTAGGAAAAACATGTTGCACATTTCGGTTCTTACCCCGGGACGCCGGGACCAGTGAGCCGAAGATTAATCCACCACCAACCGCATCGATAATTGTCAAACCGGCCATTTCAAAGTTTCTTTCCCTGCTTCCCACGCATTGAACTTTCCGCCCCACTATCTTCAAATTAGAACCCCTTTGATTTATAATGTTTCAAAGAATTATAAATAAAATCTATGCCATGATTTCCTGACGTTTCTGAAGTGTCTCATGAGATGGCTTTTAAGTGTTTCATTTTCTGGATATCTCGTATCAGCTTTAAAAAAAAAAAAAAGTAAATCTATACATGTTAAGAAAAATTTTATTATACCAATTAATTTTTAAAATTAAAAAAATTTGATATTATCTAATATTAATATTAAAACTCAAATTTTAATATTTTCTAATAATATCTAAATTTGATAAAAAAGAAATATTAAATATTTTCGATTAATTGTAAAAAAAGATATGTAGTCAAAATATAAATATAAAAAAAAATCTCACCCATCAACTAACTTTTAAAATTGGAAAGATTCAATACCACTTAACACTTTTTTAATAATATAAAACTTAGTTTATTTTTTGATTCTCCACCTCATTTTGCACGTTATTCAAACTAAAATACTTTATAGTATTTTCGAACCTCTGACTCTAGTCTTTTTAAATAAGAGTCCGTTTCATTTACAGTGTTTTAAAGAATTTAAATAATAATTTATATAAACTATAAATAATAATGTTAAAAATAAGTTTGAATAAGTCTGTGCCATATCTCTCTGAAATGTCTCATAAAATGATTTCAAGTGCTCTGCTTTATTGAATATTTTATATGAATTGTGAAATGGGTAAATGGTCAATGTTAAATATAAAAAAAATTTGCTCCACAAACTAATTTTTAAAATTAAAAAATCAAAACTCAAAGTTTAACATGTTTCTGATGACATCGACAAAATTTTGAAAAATTAAAGCTCAAATTTCAACATTTTCTTATGACATCCAAATTTTGTAGTTGACCCTTGTCCAAATTCAATTACAAGCACAATATATGATCAATATATGAAGAGACACAATGTTGAATATATGAAAAGAAATTATATTCAATATGACACGTTGATTGTAAAAAGGACATATCAATCCAGTTCCTCCACCACCGCGAACCCCAGTTAGATTGTAAAAAGGACATATCAATCCAGTTCCTCCACCACCGCGAACCCAGTTAGATTCAGGCATGCTACACTTTTTAGTTATTGGGAGAACCCAGGTACTCTCTTTCGGATTCAGGAAACAACTCTCAGAGATTTTTTTTCCTTTTGAAAGATACAGGAGCGAAACAATCAACCTATTGATATTGGAAGACTTCTTTTGATCTTCCAATGTATCATTTCTGGGTCTAATGGAATTCATATATAAATAAAAAAATTTCACTTATAAACCAACTTTTAAGATCATAAACTAAATTTTAAAATTAAAAAAAAATCTGAAACCACTAAACACATTGCATAAGTGATCAATATGTAATTGTAAAAAAAATTCCTACTCAAACTTTGAAAGTTGACAAAATACAAAACCAGTTGACACGTTTTAATAGCGCGAAACTTCTCTCTCAATTTATTTTTGGTCACCACCTAATTTTTGCACGTCATTCAACATCCAAAAGAACAAAAGCAAAGCACTAGGCTAGCTGTCCATTGAATTGAATGGTAAGAGATCCAAATTCTAGTTTTGGTTTCAAATACAAGCTTCCAAGTTCAAGGCTAAATTTGAAGATTAAACTGTAACGTGTGTACATTGAATATGTACCCTACCCAATTCCCAAAACAAAATGGGTTCAACTTGCCCCTTTTTTGGATCCAAGGTCCACACCCGTCACCAATCTCACCCGGCTTTCCTCTTTGGAAATCTATATCCCAAATGTTAGCCTAAAGAATTCCAAATATTTACAGCACATGCGCACCGCTTCAATCTACTTCATCGCTTTTCTCCTTTGTTGTCAATTTATTGTCTAAAGCTAAAGCTAAATCCTCCGTGTTGGGGTGGCACCTAACGCCGAACGGATCAATCTGGTTCCCGAAACTTTTGCCAAACCCGTTACAGTTGTGGGGTAAGAACCCCGCGCTCTCGACCCGATGACTTCTCAACCCGCTTTGAACCTCTTCGGAGCAAGGTGAGTCCACGTGGCAGAGCGGTGGGATCGAAGGGAGACGCATGTCATTATACGAGTTCATGTTATTGTTCAACCGCTCCTGAGCTTGAGCTGGAGCTGGAGCTTGCACGGCGGCGACCTGCTCTGGCAAAGAGGCGGCTGCTCCGGCGAGGCTCGCCCAGTCGAAGTTCCCAGAAGTCAGGCTTTGAATGTTCAGCTTCTCTTGTTGCATGGTCTTCAGAGAGTTCATTCGCGGTAAACTAAAGAACCGGTCGTTTATCTCCGGCAAAGATTCCAACATGTCATCGAATTGTGATGACGACGATGTCGAAGAGCCGTGGCTGTGTTCTTTGCTCGGAATTCCCAAATTGGGTTTTTGACCACTCGAGTTCTTCTTGTAGATTCGGCACAGAACCCAATCATCCAACTGAGAAACAGAACACAGTAAACTTTATCAGCAAAACAGAGTTCTAGAACAGTGGGGGTAGTTAGAAAAAACTGAGAAATCAAATCCAATTACTTTTCTCAGTGAAAATGAATTAATAATAATTCTAATAAAATTTTGTATTTACCTTTGCACTTCCGTTCTTTCGAGGAGGCTCCGAAAGTCTGTATTCGTGCATAATCCAATTCGTTTTGGTTCCTTTCGGAGCTTTTCCGACATAGAAAACCAGAGCTTTTTTTATGCCGACCCTTCGTCCCTCAGTAGTTATTACCTTATCAGTTCCGGTGGCCTTCCAGTACCCAGACCCGGCGACCCGGTTTGGGCGAGACCCGTTTGGATACTTCCGGTCTCTTGGGCTGAAGAAATACCATTCCTTTTCTCCAAATACGGCCTTGCCTGTCACAAATTAACACCAAAAATTCAGCGCAACTATAACAACAAACAACGAAATTCTGTAAGAAATTGCAAAGTTTGTGAAAAATGACTCACTGGGTAGAACCCATGGGTCGAATTTGTAAAGATCAATATCTCCAATTATCTTCAAGGAGAAATCGTGCCCTGCAACTTTCCGGCAGAGATACTGAACCAGAAGTTCTTCGTCAGTTGGGTAAAACCGGAAACCCGGGGGTAAGCTCAGCTGGGTAATCGGGTCGTTCACGGGCACTCCCATTTTTCCCGACTATGGTTAGAGAGAGAGAGAATTAGCGACACCACAGGAGCGAGAAGGATACCAAAGAGATCGAAGAATTTTCTCAAATATTTTTCTCTCTCTCTTTTTTTATCAGAATTTGCAGAGGTGGCGATTATTTATACAGGCAAGCAGTGAGAGGGGGATAAGTACGGTCTGCTGCTTTGGTGGGTCCCAGGATTTGATCATCCGTTAAAACGGGCGACACGTATAAAGAGGTTCGACGTTATCAAACGGGCCGACCTTATCCGAAAGTCTAGGGGTGGTGAAGCCAGCGAAGCTGCAGGTGCATGAACCGTCACCAAAAGGAGAGAGAGAGAGAGAAAAAAAAAAAAAATCCCCATAATGAGTCAGCACCCTCCAAATGGACACGTGTAGTTTTCCAGGTTAAAACTTCTAGAAGGTTAATTATGAGTAACTTATCATGGGGACAACCTCAGACCTCTTGTCCCGAGCTCCGCGTCTACAACCGAGACTCGAAACCTAGGGACTTACTCCGCTATCCCAAAGTCAATTCCTATTTACTGATTAACGTTAGTTAATCATACCTTATTGCCCGTAAATTAGTTTTGATGAATGATTACCTTATTATGAGTGGGATTTTCACAGGGAACCCCAATAAAGAAAAGGACTTTTCCAGCTCTTTGTTTATTTTATAGGGCATGGTTAAATCAAACAAGGCCTTAGCTCAATGTCCACGTGCATCCGTTTCGGTAATGTTAATGAACCATTGGAAGATCTTGTTGTCTGTCTGCGTATGATTCTCGTAGTTGGACTTAGAAAAGTAAAAGATATGCAAGAGACTGGAGAGAGTGCATGATAAATCGGTGAGGTCCACCACACCATACCTTTCTTTTGTACAGATGCAACACAAACGTTAGACAATGCCTTATGCGTGAGTCCTAAAGCCTAGAGAGAGAAGCTTTTACTTTATTAAAATATTTATTTGAACTTCTGTTACCGGGAGGATGAGAAGCAATTTTCACGCGTGGGTTGAGGCCAAGGCCGAGGGCCACCCGTCGGCAGGAAAAGCGCTCGTGAGTCTCGGACTTTCAACGCCGAACACCTCCAAAATCCCGGAGGGAGGGACACGTGCCGACACGTGGAAAGCTTGCAGCAGCGGCGTTCCACGTTAGGCCTTGTTTTTCCAAAAGCCGAGCCCAACAAGGGAGGAAAAAAAAAGTCCTAAAAGACACAAAACAAAACGCTCCCCGGTGGCGCCGCAGCCTGCCGACACGTACGCCATAAAAGCTCCTTTTCTCTTCTGCCCTGTTTGGCGCTTTTCCTTTCTTTCACTCCTCAATCTCTTCCCGCTGTACTCATCCCTGTTTACGTACGTTTTTAATTATTTAATAATAAATAAAACTAAGCATATTTATATTTTTAAATAAATCTAAAATCATATTTGCTCTCTCTCTCTCTCTCTCTCTCCAGACTCCAGAGGTATATCCGATTCCCACCTTAGTGCTACGTGGTTTGGGTCAAAGCGAAGTGATTCTCGACGAAGAGTCCCAGATTGTTCCTTGATGGGGGCTCGTTTGGAGTTTTCCGGACGTGGAAGCTCCTTAACTTGGAAAGAGAAGAGCCTCTTTCTTTCTCTATCGATTGGTATTTTTGTAGAGAGAGAAGGGGGGCATGTCAAAACGGGATTGGAATATTGGGGGGAGTGTTTGGTGGGTCAAATTGACCTGCTTAACCTGGTGGCACTTGGGCGATGCCGGGGAAGGAGTTACTGACAAGTACCCAAACAGGTCCTTGATTTTTTTAAGAAAGGAATTATTGCTGTAATACGCAAGGAAAAGGAGACACGTGGAGCGTGCAAGTGTACATGTTTGCTGTTGTTAAGATTTGAGAGAGAAACATGTGGTGGGGAAGCAATTTAGAAAATACAATTAAGAAAGCGAAAGAGTAGGTGCTGCCTGGTTAATAATCCCTTCATGAGCTGCCACGTGTAAAGGACGTCGTGACATGGTTCCTAAAAAAATGATAATGCATACGTCATTTTCCTAACCTAGCATCCGATTCTTAAAACCGACGGCCTTGTAAAACATCATTATTTACAGTCGTTAGATTTATTACAAGCTGAAATGAAAGTTTATTTTTTAGAAAAGTCAAATTAATTTAATTCCTCTATTTGATTTCATGTCCCGAATCTAGTCGAATCAGTTATATAATAAAAATTAAATTAATATTAAATATTAATTTTGATACTAATTTAAAGTGTATTATAATTTTTTGACTTAATGAATTAAAATCAAATATCAAATAGTTACCATGTCACCCTTGTTAGTTATTTAACTTATTATCATCACATTTTTTTATAAATTAAAGATAAAAATAATTAGTTTTTAATTTAATAAAAATATTCTCTAAAAGAATTTTAATTTGTTTATAAATTATTTTACTTTTAGAATTCAATTAAATGTATCATTTCACGTGCATTTTGGAATATTGCTATCACCTTTACTGAATTTCAAAGGTGGGAATTTTCATTTTGGGGCTTGATGTTACTGTGTGAAAACTCAGTACTCAAGGCGAGATTCACACGTGCATTACGACGTTGTACATACAGATAAAGTTGCCACCATTCACTGGAGTCCAAACGGACATATCCATGGAAGGCATCTTCTTTCTGTAATTATTATCCCTGAGAAGAAAGCCAACCAGATACTTTAAGTAGATGGCTTTTGATTAAAAGCTTGGGGCTATTCCAGGGTGGAAGTGCTTTCCTTTTTAAAGCTACCATTTATTATTTCTCAAATTGTGTGGATTGAATTGAAAGAAAACAAAGTTCAGACCAAGTTTGTCTTTACATCCCTTCTCACTTCTCTTTCTCCTTTTCCTTTAGTGGGTGAATTTTAGGCCTGCCTTTTGTCTAGCTTTAGCAGGAGTTCTTCCTCTGTGATTCCACGCAATTTAGACCAGAACATAGAGCAGAAGGATCCAGAAATAATTTACCTAAAAGGTCTAGTCTTTTGTTTTTTTTTTTTTTTTTTTCCAAAAAACAATTCTTTTAGTTTCTAATTTTTGATTAAATAAAAAAAGAAATTACAAATAATTTTTTTTTTATTTTCTTTCATCGTTCAAGTGGGCCATTATGATTTTTTTAACCTGAAACTACTCTGTTTTGAATGAGAAGTATTAAAGGTAACATTCTTTCAATAAGTACACTTTCGAGAAATTGAACTTATATTTTTATTTTTATCGAGGTAGAGATTACTGCCACCACCATTAACACTTTGTTGGTAAAAATTGGGTATTTTTAATATTTGCATGTTCATCTTGTTAGGTGGGTAGGAATCCAAATGGAATCAAGTTTCCAATTTGTTTATTTACATTTTTAAGGGGATCAAAAACAGAGTCATTTATTGGCCCAATTTGTAGAGACAACTCAAAATTGGATAAATAACTACAAGAATGTTTGCCTAATTTTAGAGTAGGCCTTTTTCTTGTTCTTCAGCACTATGAATGATTTTCTTATTATTTAATTTCTTTTCTATGAGATTCCACTTTGGATATTTCTCACCACTATTCCAATTAAAGTTAGAAAATACATGAAATATTCAAAAATACTTTAATATTTCCTTGCATATTCTCCTCCTGGGATCTTTATTTTTCTTTCCTTTAATTTTGTTTTTTATTAGGGTAAAAAAACAGCTCCCTCCTCCAAATTTACTTAATAACATTCTGCCCTATTTTTATTATAATTTTTTTTTCTATTTTGACTAATTGTTGATTAATTGTTGCTTGATACTTTTGTTAAAAAAGATATAAGGGTAATTCCATTTCACTTGCTCAGGTTACCTATCTAATTAAAAATTAAAATATTATTTATTTTACTTAGAAAATTTTAAATTTTAAATTAAAATTAAAAATTAAAAAAATTTAACCTTTTGATACCATAATTTTACTATATTTTAAATTTTTATTTTATGATATTTAAATTTTATTTAATTTTTTAAGTTTAAATGTCACTCAACCTTTTTTTAACTTTAAAAGTACTCAGCTATTTTTTATTTTAATATTTAAAATAAAAACAAAAATATAATAAAATAAAAATTATATAATAATTAAAAATAATAAATTTAAATTATCAAAAGTTAAATTTTTTTAAAAAGTTAAAATAAGTAAATAAAATAATATTTTAATTTTTAATCACATTAATGGTTAAAATGTGCGAAATTAGGTTACTTTTGTATATTTTTTAAAAAAATCATTAAGCAACTGTTAGTCAACAGTTAGTTAAAAGAGAAAAGTAATTTTTCATGATAAGAATGTGGCTAAGTGTCATTTAAGTAAATCTGAAAAGAAGGCTATTTTTTTTACCCTTTTTATTATTACAATTTCAATAAATAATATTTTTTAGTTTCTAATGAAATGTCAAAAATATATGAAATGAAGATAACTGTAGTTGCTATTATTTTGTGTAGACCATTTAATTTACTGTCCTCATTAGGCTTTTGAATTCAAAAATTATAATTTTGTATTTGGCATAATTTTCAAATAAGGACTGCGATTAAGCATGGGATTAACTGTGGGTTTGTTCAGTTGGAGATAAAGGAACAATAATTAGACTATTTATTTCGTTTATTTAGATGTAAATGCGAGAGATTAAACAAAGAAAATAAATTAAAGTTTATATCGAGTATTATGGAATATCACCCTCTCTATATATAATTTTCTTTGGGATGTTGAATTAAATAAGATAAGATAAGGTAGACTTCAGATAATATATCCTGATTGCATAGTATTTTAAATTATTATATCATGTTTAGTAAATATATATTAAGTCTAAGATAAACTATCAAGTAAATATTTAAATTATCAAAATATTATTTTATTTCTTTTTAGCGTGAATGATAGGTGGTGGTAATGGGTGACGTGCAGTGGTAGATGGTAGCGAGCGGTGGTTGCAAGCAACAGTTGCTAGCGGTGGCAATGGGTGATGGTAGTAACAGATGACTTGTGAATGGTAGAAATAATATTATTTACAGAAGTTATATAAAAGTTAGATAAATCATCTCGATACTTCTTTATATAATTTATTCAGATTTAATTAAATAATTATTTTAATTGAATTTGTTATCTAATTTTATGATTTACTCCATCAAATATTGAAAAAGTCAGATAAAGATAAATAATTTATATTTATCTACCTTTATCTAAGACACCAAACGAGCCATACTAAT